TCAACACGAGGGTCGGAATTCAGTACGTGGCCGCGTGGCTCAGCGGGTCCGGCTCAGTTCCACTGTACAACCTGATGGAGGATGCAGCCACGGCTGAGATCAGCCGAGTACAGAACTGGCAGTGGCTCAAGTACGGTGTCGAGCTCGATGGGGATGGGCTTGGGGTTCGAGTGACGCCGGATTTGTTCGGCCGAGTGGTGGAGGAAGAGATGGCCAGGATCCAGAGGGAAGTGGGCAAGGACAAGTTTAGAAAGGGTATGTATAAGGAGGCTGCCGGGATTTTCGCCCGACAGTGTACAGCCAGTGAGCTGGACGATTTCCTTACGCTCCATGCGTATAACCGTATCGTCGTGCATTATCCCAATGTCGGGTCCTCGTCCAGGCTTTGATTTCTCTCTTTTATCAAATCGATTTAATTTGTGGTGTGTTGGAATAAGATGGATGCTTTTTAATAAAATGTTTGGTGCTGTTCTGTAATAATATATATCGATCAATGTTGGAGGCTTTTGATTTCTGAAGAAAATGAATGGTATATGCAGTTTTGAGTTTTGACAGGTTTGAAGACTGGTTCAACCTTTGATTTGGTTTGTGTTTTCACTAGCTGGGCTGGGCTGGAAGGAATAAGTCAATGGAATTGTTTTGGTCAATCATCCATGACGTGGAGTTTAAACTTATTTATATATTTGATACGTTGGCTATGTTAGGTTCATTTTAAAGCCAAATAAGCAGTCTTACAATGCCAAATAGATTTATGAATGTGGAAATCTGATGTGTTGTGCACTCTGATTGTGCTTTTTGGATGTCCATTCCTTGATGTGTTGAGTCGTCAGGGCTGCAAAACAAGCCGAGACAAGTCGAGTATTTGCTTTATCGAGCAGGATTGTTTTTTTTTTTAACTGCTCAGCTTGATTTATGAGGCTCGAGCTCGACTTGATAAAAAAGTACAAGCGCTCGAGCTCGGTTCAAGCTCGACTCGAAATCAAAATGTTCAAGTGTGGCTCATAAATTTTTAAGTGAAAAAAAAAAAATTATCATTAAGCAGCTATGCTATATTATTTTAACATACATAAGGCGTATTCTAGTAATTTAACATATATCTAAAACCGCTCGATAACGTAAAATTTGGGCTATATTATTATAATACCACTTATGAGTTGTCTCCCATCGTTTATATAGGAAAAAAAAAGGTCTAATTTATAAGTCTAGTGAGTTACTCTTCCTGTCACTAATTAGTTTTGGGATGAAACTTCATTTGGGATTCATCTGGGTTTTCTCTGTTATGGCGTACCCGTCACCCCCCATTTTTACAGTCTCGAGTTCGAGTCGAGTTTTGACTACTTAAGAGTCATTCATCAACTTATGCACTAAGTTACTAACAATTACTAGTCAAAATAAGAGTCATCCATTAATGCACCAACAATTGTTTTGTTACATGATTCACCAACAATTGTTTGAAGTGTACAATTTAAAATTTGAAAGAAATCTCACCGACCGACGTGTAAAGGCCACACATTTCCAGACAATAAGTGAACAATTTAAAAAATATCATGATGATTTTCTTTTTTAATTGAGAAATAAAAACACTCAATTCATGATATGCTTGTAAAAATAACACTATTATTGCGGTTACGCTATCAATAACATCTTAATTCACGACAACTCCTGCCCGAAAAATGATCATTTGACTTTCCGAGCAAACAAAACTTTATAAACCTCCGAAGAAAGGAAAAACAATAATCATGAAATCGAAAGTCAACGGGACAAAGGATAGCTATTTACGTCAAACTCGACTTGCGGGAAAGAAAACATCCCTGGCGCGTCCGCAAAATGGCACGCGTCCGGGCCCCACCTCGAACAGTGAATTCAAAACTGCCACGTGTCCACCTACCGAAGTTTCCAGCCATTTCAACCTTTTTGCTTTGGCCATCCACCAACCACACCATATTGCTAAGAGCATCTTCAATAGTATTTTCATTTGCTCTATTTTATTGTCACATAACATAAAAAATATTTAAGTGGGATAGAAAATATTTTAGATGTAGAAGTTTTTCTAAATAACTTCTATTATATATTATATTATTTATTTAATTTATCCCTCTTCTTCAATCAATTACAATTTTACACATCATAATTGACATCATAATTAGCACTAACCATTGAAGACAACAATTTTTAATTCTCTTTCTTCGTGTCATACAACACAATTTTCATTGGAGGTACTCTAAAAATTCCAGGCCCGACACAGGCAGGTGCCGGTAACCATAACGAGCTCTACGGGTAACAACCGGTTGCCGAGCCTTTGGACTTGTTCAAAGATAAATAGTGATTCATGCCCACCTGTTTTCAGTTTTCGGTCATCTTTTTCAACACCGGACAGAAATCCCAAGAAAGTCCCAGAAAAATTCAACTTTTTCTTCTTACCTCTTTAATTCATTGTCTGAAAAGTTTGCAACTTTTGAGGATTTTAAGTTGTTGGTATTGATTCGAAAAAAAAGAAAAAAGTTGTTGGTATTGATTTTGTTCACCACAAAGTTTAGCTAATTTTATTGGTTGTATGTGGTCGGAGAAGAAGGATGGGAGCTGAAGCTGAGGTGGTTGTTGAGAGGAACATCTCTGTGTTGGATGTTCCCTCTTCTCAAGTTGTAAGTTTTGCTTTGCTTTCTTTGTTTTTTGGACAGATTTGTGTTTTATTTTTTTGAATTGTGGGTTTTGTATTTTTACATAAATAAATTGTAAGTATTTGTGAATTAAGGTGGTTCTTGTTCTTAGCTTGGTTTACTGCATATGCATCCTTTGAAGCATGATTTTTAGTTCTTGAATCGGAGAATGTTTTCTTCTTATGCCTTGTAATTTAGCTTTTGTGGGTCTTGTTTTTCTTGATTAATTTGTTAACTTCCTGGACCATTAGAGGACACCATAAGGGGAAAAGGGGGCCCAAAAGAGAAGCAAATGAAGAAAAAAAAAAATTCAATATAAATCTACACGGGAACAGTTTGCTAAAAATTCGACCTTGTGTGTGTTTGTCAGTGTGAAATTCCTCACTGGTGTGGTCGAATTTGCCTAGTGTTGCTAGACAGGACTGGAGAAGCTTTGGGACCAGTTTTCTCATTCAATTTGTCTTCCTGTGTTAAATTAGCTGCTAAGTTGTACATGGTCTTTGGTTAATTTCTTACTCACCAGCAAATATAAGGTCCTCCTAACTCAGGACAAATCTCAATTTCTAATTCCAAGCTAATTGAAACACTTCTTTTTGTACAACCACAGTTCTATTGTACTGCTAATTGTATAGTTAACATGTTTTCAGGCACATTCTGTTTCCTGTATTACAATAACCTGTAGAACTACAATGATATGTTCTTTATCTTACTTGTTAATTTATCTCGATATCTTTGCTCGTGATAAAAAAAATTGCATTGGTTTTTTTTTTGTACATCAGGATGTTAAATCTCCAGAAACCCCTGTGCTGCAATTTCTTCCCAGCATCCGCTCAGGTGGTTTTGCTGATATTGGCCCACGAAGATACATGGAAGACGAACACATACGGATAGATGATCTATCTGCACACTTGGGATCGCTCGTCAGCTTTCCTGAACCAAGTGCCTTCTATGGGGTGGGTGTTCTCTTTCTTTCCCTGTCTCGATTTTCATCACAACATAATTAATATGATTATGATTGGTTTATTATATAATCTATAAATAATTATTCGTATAGGTGTTTGATGGCCATGGTGGACCTGAAGCAGCATCCTTTGTTAGAAGGAACGCAATCAAATTCTTTTTCGAAGATGTTAATTTCCCAAATACATGCGAAATTAACGACGCATTTCTAATGGAGGTCGAAAATTGCCTGAGAAAAGGATATCTTTTGGCTGACATGGCTTTGGCCGATGACAGCACCGTGAGTAGTTCTTCTGGAACAACTGCTCTGACCACTCTTGTTATTGGCAGGTAAAAACTCATACAACTACATATTAGTGGAAATTATATAAATTACCGCTGAAATGCAGCCTAATTATATTTTGACATGATAACAGGCTCCTAATGGTTGCCAATGTGGGAGACTGCCGAGCTGTCCTATGCCGTAAAGGGCACGCAATTAACATGTCGCAAGACCACCGGCCGAACCACTTGGCCGAGAGGCAGCGGGTGGAAGAGCTCGGTGGGTTCATAGACGATGGGTACCTAAACGGGGTCCTCTCGGTCACTCGGGCCCTTGGTGACTGGGACATGAAGCTGCCTCGAGGCTCGGCCTCTCCTCTGATTGCCGAGCCCGAGTTTCGACAGGTCACCCTCACGGAGGACGATGAGTTTCTCATAATTGGGTGTGACGGTATATGGGACGTTATGTCCAGTCAGCAGGCAGTTAGCCTCGTCCGGCGAGGCCTCAGGCGGCATGATGACCCGGAGCAGTGTGCTAAGGATCTCGTCATGGAGGCCCTTCGCCTCAATACTTTTGATAATCTGACGGTTATTATAGTCTGTTTTGGTACTGTTGACCAGATTGAGTCAACGGGGACTGTAGCTGCCCGGCAGAGGCGGCTGAGGTGTTGCAGCCTGTCGGCTGAGGCTTTATGCAGCTTGCGGAGCTTCTTGGAGGGTAGCCGGTGATTTTTTTTTTTTTTTTTCCTTTGAAGGAGTTGAGAAAATTGTGTGTATGATGGTAGTTTTGTTCTTTCTTGATTGTTGTGTGGTGTGGACCTGTGGTGAGGGGAGGATATTAGGGTGGCTGTGTGCATAGTAATTGGTTGGTAGGTGTAATTTGACTCGTGTAATTTAGTGCTGATACGGTCTCTATTGGTGTAGAAGTTCAATGTGTTTTGACAGCGTAAGATGAATAAAATCATTTTCTTACATGTGGTTTTTGTCTCTAGTTTTTCAATTGTTAATCTATGGCTGCATATGGTAAGCAGTAAGAACAATGCGAGATTTTATTTTATTAGTAACTAATCAATTCAGCATCGGCCATTGCAAAAAGAAATTAAATAGACAAAGTATACTGAGGCTTGATCTTCAATGTCCAACAACCTTCGAGGACAACTGTTGCATTTCAAAAAAAAATTAAGGGATGAATGTAATAATGTTTGCTGGTTACATGGCTAGAACTTCAATTAAATGCTAAAAGCCTAAAATTGATCTTAACCAAATCAAAATATTATATATATATCTTTTGACATAATCCGAATATAACCAAAAATGATCAGAAGGGAAACCCTTTATTTGACACCTTCTTTGAAGACTCTGCTAGTCGCCTAACACATTTTGCATTTCTATACTCTGCCATCAACTCTTCAACCACACTCTCCGGGTGACACGTAATAAAAGCCGAGATGAAGCGTTTTTCAGACATCCTCAATGCCCTCAACAGCGAGGGCCCTTTAACCTCAGGAAAAAGACCCATATCCTCTATCTTACAGGCGACCCTGAATCGTGGTCTCAACACACTCTCCAAACTAGCATACAACAAAAACGGGCATTGAAGCAAGACGGTTGCTGGAAGCTTCATCGTGGCCAGTATGAAAGTCATGTGCCGTTGGACATTATCAACAGACAAAGTTAACAAGAAAGGGGACCGCCCGATGAGCCCGTAAACCTTATTCTCCGGAATCCCATACTTGCCCAAATTCACAACTTTTTCCCTAATGGTCTCGATTCGGGATATGCCCAATAAGGATACTACGTGTTTGTACATTTTCGAGTCTTTTGAGACCCCGGTTTTGCGAATGTACTCTATCTTTTCTTCGTCTAATGTGGTGCGAGGGATCAAAGTAGGGCGTGACAAGAGCATGAATATCAAGTCTTCTCTGCTAAGGCCCAACGACTCATACATGGCGACAGCCGGTTTCATCTTGTTATGAAAGTCGTAAGTTAGTAGTGAAGGGTTTCGGACGAAAGCTTTGGCCAGGAGCTCTCGGGAGCCGAACAGGGATTCGAGATAGTTGACACGCTCGTTGAGCATGACATTGATCTTGGAGTTGAGGAGGCGGGGCCGGCAGTGGATCATCTTCACCAGGTCACTGGATTCGATGCCCAGTTCGGAGAGGATTTGGAGCTTGGATTGAAGGACGTGAATATCGGTTTTACGGAGAGACGGGCGCCGCTCGAAAATTCTAGAGATGTCGCTCTCCGAGCAACCCCATTTTTTGAAAACGTTAGTCGGGTCCTGCCTTCGTTTTTCGTCGTCTCTTGGTTTTTTTACACTGTCAGGTGATTCTATTTGTTCGTGTAGGCATTCAACGGAAGGACTAGCCGCGGAATGGAAAAGACAAGGCTTTTGGAAGTGAGGATATGAACTGCAGGAATAAGAATAAATGTCATCGACAATCTTGTGAAGTTGATGTGGGCCCTGAAAAGGGGAAAAAACAGCAAGATTGTCATCTATAACTCGTTTTGCCCAACAATTTTAAAGGATCGGGTGGGTGGCTCTAATCAAGTTCCTTTATTCTTAATGAACTCGACCAGACGACTGTCAATGGGGATTATCAAATATGCTTCTATCCAAGCCCCAAGGGAACAAATGCTGAAAGGGTTGGTTTATAATTAAATGATTAAAATCACAGATGGATAATAATGTTCTCCAAATTATATAACAGATTTCGGTCATTGTCAGATAAGGCAAAGCACAATGAACATCCTTCTTATATTGAAATCATATTCTCTTCTTGGTGTACTAGAATAAACTGGAATCAAATTCTATACATTCTGATCTGAGCTATTCTATTGTGTAGTGTAATCATTCTTTGGATTTAAAATTAGAACAGAATTATAACTATATAAACAAGATTCAGCGGGTGGAAAAATTACGAACAATAACAAAAAACGAAATAAGAAGCCCACCGCCAACAAAATTAGGGAATGTGTGCACAAAAGTGGGAGACAAGCTTTGCATACAGAAAAAACTCCATCAGCATCAGAAATTATCAGTAATAGCAAATTAGGAAACTCACCATGCATAGATAGGTGAAAAGATGGGAGCTTTGGGGCTGCAAACGACGGGCAAAAAGAGCTTCACCTCTGTTGAGAGCGTGCAAGAATACCATTTACTTCAATTCGACGGCTCAGAATACAAGCTCGCGTGCTGAAATAGAAAGGGAGCACGAGGATGAAGCTGCTGTCACCAAACTGAAGAGAAGAAAGTAAGCAGATCCGAGGAGCTGTTAATGCCGCTACGAAGACGACGACTGCAAGTGAAATGAGTTTTTCAGTAGCAGAAATGGGCTATGGGTACATATGGCCCATTTTCATGTACAAAACCATGGGCCCAATACGAGTAGTCCTTATCAGAGCAAAAGGATAGCCCAATATCGGTTGTGTTTGATTAATTAATGCCCCACCCACAGTCTCCAATTTCCAGTTTTTTCTTCCATCGTCTCCGACTCGGATTACTCCAAAAGGGTCAACCGATTGAAAAAAATCTAAAACAAAAAGGCCCCAATCTCCAGGCTTCAAGTGATTGGTAATTGAGCAGAAAAGCAACAGAGAAATGGAGTGGCTGCAGTGGCAGGTGCCTGTTTGTGCGCTCATATTGATCCTCCCCACGGCAATCGCAATCCGCCTCCTCCGAAAGAGGACCGGCGGCGGCGGTGGTAGGGCCGCGGTGGAACCATCCGATCTGTGGGCCACATGCTGGAGGAGCCTCCATCCCCGGTGGCTGCTGTTGTACCGTGCTTTTGCCTTCCTTTCCATGGCCTTCTTGCTTTACCAGACTGTTGCTGCCTTCGGATTCTTCGTTTTCTTCTTCTACACCCAGTACATCTCGCTCTCTCTCTCTCTCTCTCTCTCTCTCTCTCTCTCTCTTTGGAAATCAAGGTAGCATTTCATCAGATAACGCAATTTAGCAAGTCTTCTTGTATCTCAGTTCAATATATATCTTCAAACGCCAGCTGATTTTAGTGTGTAATTTGTGCTCGTCAGGTGGACTTTCGCATTGGTCATGCTCTATTTTGCAGTACGTATTTCTCCGAGCTGTTGGTGATCTAATTAAGGCGTCTGGAAGTTTGACATTTTGTTTTAGTAATTATGATTTTGTATGAGTATTGAGTTTGTTGTTCAAGTGTAGCTTGCGACCATTGTGTCCGTACGGAGATGTGGTAAGATTCATGAGATTGAACACACTCGCACTGGGGAGAAAGATGGATTTCTCAAGAAGAATTTGGAAGAGATGAACTATGGAACAACTTCAGCTACCAGACCTATTGACGAGCTTGGATTTATGGAAAATCTTTTGCAAATTGTATATCAGGTTAAGATATCCAAGCTTCTCTTACTTTATTGTAATGTTCAAGCTTCTAAGGTTTTGGCCTAGTTCTTTACTGCAATGTTTAAACATTGACACTGTCTTGCTATCCATATATCACATAGGACTTATGCCTTGGAATGACAATATCCAATGCGTGAAAATTAACTAACTTCAGATACAGGCTGCTCTATTCTCCTTAACTTTGAGTCGCTCGTCAACTTTGAAATGAATATATATTCACATCACTTAACATCGAATTCTATAAAAAAAATCCCATTTATTCATTTTTTGCCGATGTTAAATCTGTTAAATCTATACCAGAAAAATGCAAGTGCATGATTTATTCGAAATCTGTTAAATCTACACTGGCAAATATGTTTAATCTTTTACTAATTATTTGGAATATTCTTGTTGATGTATTATATCAGTATTGAACAGATCTGTGCAGGGGCTGTCATGCTTACAGATATTGTCTTTTGGTGTGTTCTGCTCCCATTCATGACGGGTGAAAATTTTCAGCTCACCCTGGTGAGTACATCTCTTTCATATACCTCTAAATCCAGGCTTTATCTATTTCTCCCTTTCCCAGATGTATTGAACATTTTGTTTATGTAAATACATTGGCAGTTGATTGGATGCATGCACTCCGTAAATGCGGTTTTTCTTATCCTCGAGTCCGCTCTCAATAAGTTGGTACTGTTGTGAACTCAAAATTTAGTAACATCCATGTTACCAGGAGTTAAATTAGCCATGGCTACTTAATAGATCAAATCTTTGCCTTGCAGCAGAAATAGTATTCCAAGCTAATCATATTGAATCTCCACATTTTTCAGCCATTCGACTGGTTTGGCCTTATCTATTTCATACTGTGGAGCTGTGCTTACGTTGTTTTCCAGTGGCTTCTTCATGCATGCTGTCTTACATGGTAATAGAACAGACTGCAATTTCTTTCAATATGGTTCAAAAAAGCTTGCTCACATCTCATGATAATTTAACCAACCTGTGTAGGTGGCCATATCCCTTTCTTGATCTTTCAACTCCATGGGCTCCTGTATGGTAAGAATTACTGACTCATTAATCCATCGCCCTATCAGATGAGGCAACTTCTTGTCTAATGAATCTTTAAATTTCCAGGTATTTGGCTCTGGCGTTGGTTCACATACCGTGCTACGGGCTGTATGTGTTGCTCACAAAAGCAAAACATGCAGCTTTTTCGAGATTGTTTCCTCAAACTTTTGTGAGGTCAAATTAGCAAACTATCAATTCAGAGGATGTGTAATTCCATTTCAAATTTAAATTCTTCAGCTGGATTGTTACACAATTATAACAAAACTGGAAAATGCATAGCTATTTAAGATAGAATTCTTATGTCAAGACTATGCTGCCACTAATAGTGAAGATTGAAAGTGCAACAGTCTTATCTCTCTCACTTTGCAGGGTCCCAGCAGAAAATAAACAAGATTAAAATTGTCTGCTTAAACTTGGATTCTTGGAGCCTCTACCAGAAATTTTGAGGATCCAATTATAGTCATGTGTACCTTGTAATTCAAATTTCAACCATCTATCTTAGCACAATATTTGTATAAATTCATAGAATGTCATGTGTACCTTGTAATTCAAATTTCAACCATCTATCTTAGCACAACATTGTATAAATTCATAGAATGCACCCATTTATTTTATTAATCAAGGACTGGTTAGTATAAAAGATTATCGTGTTACTATGCAGTGGGCCTAGACCAAAGACCCATCACAGGCAGCTTAAACTTCATGTTTAAATGAATCCGAGAACTCTCAAGCTCCTTTCCATCTTTTAAGAGCCGCCTTGGTTAAAAGAAGCACCAAATGCTCTTAAAAAGAACAGTGGACACAAGCTGATAAAAGGTAAATAACAATATTTCAAAGGAAACACAATCCACTCTAAGCTAGATTCAAAATTTAAATTCCAATCTCAGAATAGTAGAAAAAAAAAACCATAATATCCAACACAATCCAGCAAAAACCCATAACAAAAGTTGTTCCCAAAATGTCAATGTAACAAGCGAAATTACTGGCTCAGAGCCAATACAGACAGCTCAATCACTGCCGGCCTTATTGTATACGTAGGTCAGCCCACACTTACCACAGTAGTGCCTGTCAAAGTGATTCGCCATGAACGTCCCCGCACCGCACTCGGCGTTCGGGCACTCCTTCCTCAGCCGCTGCACCTTGCCGGAATCATCCACCTTGTAGAACTGGAGCACGGCGAGCTTCACCTTCTTCTTCTTGTGTTTGATCTTCTTCGGCTTGGTGTAGGTCTTCTTCTTCCGCTTCTTGGCGCCGCCGCGGAGGCGGAGCACGAGGTGGAGGGTGGACTCCTTCTGGATGTTGTAGTCGGCGAGGGTGCGGCCGTCCTCGAGCTGCTTTCCGGCGAAGATGAGGCGCTGCTGGTCGGGGGGGATGCCTTCCTTGTCCTGGATCTTGGCCTTGACGTTGTCGATGGTGTCGGAGGATTCGACCTCCAGGGTAATCGTCTTACCGGTTAGGGTTTTGACGAAGATCTGCATCTTCGCGGCGGAGGTTGTGGCAGTAATTCTTATCTAGGGTTTGGTTGGTACTGAAGTGAGTGCGGGGCAGTGAAGGGGAAGACACGGTATTTATATGGATTAGGGTTAATGAATGTCATGGGCCATTTTATTTTGGAGTCGCCAGCCAGAATTTGGGCTTAAATCTAGTCCAGTGGCATGTTTTTGTGTAGTCACTTGTTATTGAGATAATCCCAAGGTGATGAGTTTGTATATTGGACTATTGGGGCAAAAATAATTGGCAAAAAGACACATCGACGTGTCATAACCACAGGCATGCCATATAAACGAGATCAAAGTTTTAAACCCACATTTACGGCCACATAAGATATATTAGACAAAATTCGATTCAACAACTGGAAGGGAAAGTCGCGGTGCAATCATAATTCATTTTCCCCGAAATCGGTTCGCGCAATTGGCACGAAATATTGTTATTGGTTTTTTAATTACAAATTAGCTTGACTTCAACTGGTGGGTTCCTATATTTTTATTTCCATATTTATGTTATATTTATATATGTAGTTTATTAGTTAAAATATTGTTAAAATTATCCAAAGTGAAACTCAGAAAATACAAAAAGTAAACATTAGATGGAACATGAGAAACTGATAGCGGCAATCATGAAAAATACTACTAAGTAATTCAAGAACAACAAAAAACAAACCAAAATATTGTTAATTAATTCAAACATTGACTACAAAAAAATCAGTTATTCATAATACAACCATCAATTTTTTTTAGAATTACAATATAATTTAGAGATTCCATAAATGGACATAAACATGGAACATACCAAACATAAACATGTAACATACCTAACTAGTTAAATAATACAGATAAGAGAAAAAAGAAAAATTATATATGGTTTATTTTCAGTTTATATATAGTTTATTTTCAGTTTATATATGGTTTATTTTTAGTTTATTATAATAAACTAGTTAAACTAGTTTATTTTCAATTTATTATATAAGAAAAAATCAGTTTATTATACAAGAAAAAATTTCAATTTATTATTTTCAGTTTATATATGGTTTATTTTCAGTTTATTGTAGTTATAAAATTAATACTTTTATACACACACAAAATGTAAATTTATATATATTTTATTTTCAGAACACAGACTATTGATAAACATAATGAAATCATAGATCAATTAATACTCAAAAAACTACTTTATAAAAAACTTCTACAAATTATTCAAGCTCAAAACATTGATAAACATCAAATAAACCTCGAAGTAACATTAAAAAAACTACTTTAATATTTTTCTAAAAATTAAAATGTGTAAATTAGAAAAAAGGGGAATCAGAGCCATCGAAAGAATAGGAAACGCAGCCCATCACTTTTTGCTGACCTTCAAATCCCCATTTTCACCTCTCTTCGCCTCGACTCAACGCTTGTTTTCTCCTCATTGATAACACCAACTCAAGCTCTTGTTATATCGACCTTTGCAACCAGCTTCGCCACAAATCGAGGCGAATTCTTGCTGATATTCTCGCCTCAAATGCGACTTCCTTCACACTCGGCTTATATTGACGAGCACGCTAAGCACTTCTCGGCAAGATTTTCAACTTGCATCAGCACCTCAACCTCACCACACGCCTCCAAACGACTGTCCAAGATCCTTACCAAGTCGTCCCCTCGTCAATAGCTCCACTAGCACCACTGCAAACGATAGACGTCACCTTGTTCTGTCTGTATCTCATGGCTCAAACAGCCCACCGAGCCCGGTGAGTTTTGCATCTCTATTCTTCATGGACTGCTTTTTAATGTTCGTTTGTAAGTGACACTTGCACCGACTTCCTTGTAGAGCCTATTGTTGCAGTGTACTTGTTCGTGGTTGTCTGGATGTATCTGTAGACGATTAAATTTTGAGCCAATAAAATGGCGACAAGTGTCAAATTCCATGTTAAAATCAATTTAATATTTTTCTATTTTATTTGGGAAATTAATCAAATTTTAATTCCTAAATTAAATAGTTAATTAATTGATTATTTAATATATATTGTTGGCCAATTAAAGAATGCCACATGTATATTTTAAAGGCCAATTAAAGAATCCACATGTCATTTTCTTGGAGAGTAAAATAAATAATTATTTCTTTAAATAATTATTAAAGAGATAAATAAGTGGAAATTCATGGACCAATCAAATTGAAGTCTTCTTTTCCAAGAGTCCATCTTCTAATTATCTGTTTAATAAATAAATATTGGAAATTATGGACCAATCAAAATGAAGTCTTCTTTTCCAAGACTCTCTCTCCTAACACCTATAAATAGGGACCCACCCTAAGGTGAAAAATCACAATTCATATTCATATTTCAAGTTCCAAGTTCAAGAGCTCTAGAGATTCTCTCCACGAGATTCAAGTGTTCTTGAAGATCCAAAGGCGTTCTTGAAGATTCGAAGGAAGATTCAAGCGCATTCAAGCTCAAAACCGACGTTCAATCCGGAAATAAGCTGCCAAGCCTCCGAATTGCGTTATTAAAGTCAAGACCGGCGTAGAGAAGATCAAAATCAACTTTGCGGCGAAGACCAAGGACTCGTGTTCTTCACTTTCTTGGAAAATCACGACGTTCGATTCGAGATCAAGCTGTCAAGCCCTCGAAGAAACGTTATTTAAACTCATATTCAAGACCGGCGGAGATCAAACTGAAGATTCGTCTCCAAAAGTCTCAAATCCACTTGAAGATTGTTCTTGAAGAAATTAATCAGAGGAATAATAGAGATTTAGAATCCACTATATTTCATTTGATCCGTTGAAATCCATTTGTACGAAGTTCTCGTGTTTATTAATTCAATAAAACGAATTTTGCGTTACAGTATCCACAAACTAGCCACAATATCAAGAATTATGAAGCCTGGATGGATAATGAACAGAATGTTCAAACATATTATTTCTCCCATGTAATTTCACAATCTCTTTCAAATACCAAAGTAACTTGAGCATAAACTAAAAGTAAATCCCAGCAACTCATGGGCAATAATTTCAAAATCTCTATCAAATACCAAAGGAAAATTAAGCAAAAATTAAAAACAAATCCCAGCAACTCATAGATCTAAAAATATCAATCAATGAAACTTTCACAACTAAAAAATAAAATCAATTTCTGCTAACCTTAAATTAGCAAAACCACAACTTTGATCTCAAAGGCGGCAGACGGCGCCGACGGCGAGATGAAGAAGCATAAAATAAATATAGTATGAAACGCAGGAAGAAAAAAATGTATAAAAAAGAGAATATACAAAGTCGGTTGTGATATCAAAGAGGCTCGATCGACGCCTACGACGATTGAGATTGCTCTGGCGGATGAAGTATTTTTGAGCATGGCTTGCGACCTGTGTTGGCGTGCGACTGGGATCTAATGAGATTGGAGTTAGGGTTTGAGGGAAGATGAGGGCAATTGATTTGAAAAGATTAGAGACAGGGAAAGTGGAATTAAATTTTTCATAATTTCGTACTTGTGACTTCATTAAGTCTAATGTGCGAAATATTTTTTAATCTCGTCGAATGGGCCAAATAAAAAGTTGGGCTCGTGCGTCAGGTAATTAGTTCAAAATAATTTACAGATATATGAAGTTTTTCATATGGTGTTGACATTAACATTTTCAGTGAATGTTATGTGAATGGATCGCATAAATATCTTTATTAATTGTATAATTGTCATATATGTATCGCACAATTTCTTATCACACTAATTTTTTTCTTCCCACAAAGTGCAAAGAGTTATGTAATTGGGCCGCACAATTGTAGCATACCCATCGCACAATTGTCGCATATTTATCGCACAATGTCTTTGTAGTTTATTAGGTGAAAATTTTCATCTCAAAATACCTTTGCAATTTTTGAGGTGAAAAAATTAACTTATCAGCGGGCGGTGTGAAAGACTTGATACATTTTCATAGTGGGCTGAAAAATATTATTTTGACTTAAATATATATGTATATATAAGTGAATATATATATATATGTGTGTGTGTGTGTGTATGTGTGATGGACCAATCTTTGTTACTATAATTGACATAGTTTTTAGGCGAGAAAATATATGTATCTATATTTAGCATACATAACTTTTATCATCTCATTGTTGTATGTATTAATATTATTAATTATGTTCACCGATCAGAAGATCTTAAAATATTAACAAATAACCATAATAATTTTATTTGAATCATATTAACTTAATGAATAATTTATAATATTAATAAAATTTCTTAAAATGTAATCAATTTAACCATAAAAAAATACCTCCATTAAATATATCATATGTATTGGGAATAATTTGAAAATTTGAATTTAATATATTTATAAAATTATTATTTGATAGTCTGGTGAAATTATTAAAATTTATAAGTTTCACATGAGAAATATTTTAAACGACTCAATTTGTAATAAAAACATAATTCCAATTATATACTATTTAACAAATAAAAATGAATAAATAAGATAATATAGTCAAATAGCATAATTAAAATGATAGCATTTGGAAATAATTGAAATATAATAATGTATTTAAATATTTAAATTAGATATTAAACACTCGTTATATAAGTTGAAAAAATGAATTAATGAAATAAATATAAACAAATATTTTTAAGAATAAAATGATATAGTTTATTATGTAAAAATTGGTTGAGTAAACGATTGAAGTTACTACAATTTTAATTTAATTATAAAAGAATTAATATTTCATGCATTCTAGAATTGTAATAAAGGAAACAATTTTTATGGGTTAAACGTTAGTTAGTTAGTTATCGAACAATTTGCAAAATATGAATTGTTAAAAAATAAAAATCAAGATAATTAGTAATTTTATAAGTACATGGAACTAATTTCTATGGAAATTTAAATAGTGTGACAACTTACCTTATCTAGCCAACCAAACCCACCATAAAAGTTAATTTGGCCGAGTTCAAGCATCAACGAGCCGATCTCGAACTTCAACGAGCTAAATTATAGAAAATTATATAAAAGAAATTCTCTTTTCGAACTTATAGAGCCAATCTCATTAACGAAACGAGTTTTAAAATGAGTTCAAACTCGACTTGTTAAAAGTTAACGAGCCACGGTAGTTTAATTTAACAGGCTCATGCGGATAAGAATCTATATATATATAATTGCTAACTAAGCAATAAATTTTACCTAATAAATAAAACCTAATAAATTTTACCTATGTGGCAAATCATTAATAAAACCTAATAAATAGAACCTAATAAATTTTATTTATGTGGCATTAATACACCCAATCTCATTAATAAGAAAATATTTCATTACATTTTTTGGGTTAATTAAGACAAAAACCATTATATTTTATGTTAATTGATTAATAATTATATTTTTTATTGAATAATATAATAGTTAATATTAAAATTAGTAATTATATTTTATACTAAATAATATATGAAAGTTACATAAAATTATATTTTACACTAAAATCAATATTTTTTTATATGATGAAGATGTTTATTAATAAATTAATTTTGTTTATGTCACAGTAAAATTTTTTAAAATCACATAAGCAATTGTTATAATAAATGTAATATTTTTCAGCTAATTAATTGGTTATGATCACTCAAAATTATAAAAAATATATATTTATTGCATTTTATGCAATCAATATAATGATTCGTATACAATCAAATCGTGTGTACTATTTATTTTAACCAATAATCAAATTTTAAAATATAATACTATTATATAATTTATAAATTTAATATTATATACATAAATATAACTTATAATTCTATATGTTTGAAATATAATACAATTATATAACTTATAATTTTTATATTATATACATAAATATAACTTATAATATTTAATTTTATTTACATTTGTGCAAATGCACAAGGTTGAATACTAGTTTATGGAAATGTGACGTCAGAGCTTACGCTATTCCCCCACCACTTTTGCTGTCGTCTTCAACTTATCCTTTAGCGGCCTCACTTATAAATTCCTTAATGCCACCGTCTCTTACCGTCACCTCCACCGCCAATTTCGCCGTTTAAATTACAATCTACAAACAATCCCAATCTACTTTTCTCACCGCAAAATTTCACGTGCTATGGATCCACCCACCGGTACTATCATTTTCTCCTCCGTCGGCAGGCCCAATTACGGCTTCGACGTTTTCTCCGTCACCCTGCCATCCAATTTCGACGACCCATTTCCCGAGCACCGCCTAACCGACGGCCGATCCATCAATTTTAATGGCCAGTTCGTGGATGAGGACGGGACCCTCGTTTTCATCTCCGAGAGAACCGGATCCGCCCGGATCTTCTTAAACCGAGCGGGTGAAAGTAGCCCCGAACAACTCCATACCCCGCCGGAAAGCCTCTTTCACGACCGTCCCGTCGTGAAAAACGGCCGGCTCTATTTCATTTCGGCTCACGAGCGGCCCGACGAGCCGTTCCGGAGCTGGTCGGCTCTCTACTCGACCAAGCTCTGCGAGGGGAATGAGAAAGCCGCCGTGCGGCTGACGCCCTACGGCTCCGTTGATTACAGCCCGGCCGTCTCACGCTCCGGGAAGCTTGTTGCTGTAGCTTCATACGGGTCCCGGCCATGGGGCGGCGAGTTCCGCCATCTCGAAACGAATATAGTGGTTTTCCAAGAGTCAGATCCTGCGAAGCGTGTTGTGGTGTGCGAGCGCGGAAGCTGGCCCACATGGTCCGGAGACTCGTCTCTGTATTTCCACCAGCTGGCGGACGATGGTTGGTGGAGCATTTACAGAGCAGACTTACCGAACAATTTTGCATCGACCAGCGCCTTGCAGGCACCCGTCCGCGTCACAACGCCGGGCATCCATTGTTTCACTCCCGCCGCAATGCATCAAGGCGGCAACAAGCTCGCCGTTGCCACAAGACGCAAGGGCAGCAAATACCGCCACATCGAGATTTTCGACGTGGATAGTCAGAAATTCCATCCGGTGACGGAGCGTATAAACCCTAATATCCACCACTACAATCCTTTCCTTTCACCCGAATCCAATTCCCTCGGCTACCATCGGTTCAGAGGGGAATCGGAGTCCACGATCCCACATCTTGATCCGATCACCAGTCCAACTCAAAATCTCGACATGTTTAGGCTTAACGGCTCTTTCCCGGCGTTCTCCCCTTCAGGAGACCTCATCGCTTTCAATCACGACTTGGCCGGCCTCAAGGTCGTGAAATCCGACGGCTCCATGAGGTGGACGCTTATCGAGAACCGAACATCCTTCTGCAATTCATGGAGCCCGGTTACCGACAATGTCATCTTCACATCCATCGGCCCCATCTTCGAGTCCGTGGATACAGCTGTGCAGATCGCTCGTGTCACGTTCGACCGCAAACATCATCATCTATCCGGTAATTGCCCTGTGGAAATCAAAATTCTCACGAAAGAAGGCACAGGTAACAATGCCTTCCCATCGTGCTCGCCGGATGGGAAATCCATCGTGTTCCGTTCCGGACGGTCGGGCCACAAGAATCTGTACATAGTGGATGCAGTTAAAGGCGAGATGGAGGGGGAAATCCGCCAGCTTACAGAAGGGCCGTGGATAGACACAATGCCGAGCTGGTCGCCTGATGGGAACCTAATTGCCTTCTCCTCCAACCGGCACAATCAGGACAACACGGATGCTTTCGGGATATATTTGGTGAAGCCGGACGGCACGGGTGTGACGAGGGTCCAGGTGGCAGGAGTCGAGGAAGAGAGGGAGAGGTTGAACCACGTTTGCTTCAGTGAGGATAGCGAATGGCTGCTGTTCACCGCGAATTTGGGGGGTGTGACGGCTGAGCCGGTGGGGTTGCCGAACCAGTTCCAGCCGTACGGGGATTTGTACTTGGTGAGGTTGGATGGGAGTGGTTTGAGGAGGCTGACGTGGAATGGGTATGAGAACGGGACGCCAGCATGGCACCCGAGGCCATTGTTTTCGGGTGATGAGGTGAGTGAAGGTGTTTCACGTCTATGCTTAAGGGATGAGGATAAGTTGACGGGCCAATTTGATGAGCCGCTGTGGTTACGATGAGCTTTCTTGAGTTATGTTTAATCATCGTGTGATGTTTTGTGTGATTTGTATTATGTTTTCTGGTGTAATGCAACAATAAATGTGCAACTCTGGCTTACAAGAAACGTGCATTATGAATATAATTGATGCGCAAATGGGCACATCAAAGCTGAAGATATTGAATTTCGAAAATTAAATTGCAAAATCCAAATAAGGATAGTTACCTTGTTTGTGGAAACCCCAACAAAAGAAAATGTGAATCGCAGTAGAAGCCTAAAACACTTTTAGGTGCCTGATGCAAACAAGCAAGTGCCAGTAGTTTCTCATATTCATCGTCAGACAAAAAGAAAATGCTGGATGATACCTTTAAAATAAAGATTCATTGTTCCTCGGGCATTAGAGATTAAAACAAAACTATTTTTCTTAAAAGATAAAGGAAGGCCTCCATCTTGTGCATTACATAGAGTAGCATTCAATCATTTATTTTCTTTAGGTCACCGCATGAATGGCACCAGGCGTCTCATCTCTGTTCCGTTTCCATTGGACAAGTAGAAAATTTTCTTCCAGTTGGCCTCCGTGAATGCATCTCGTCTCACAAGTCTTTGCCTGCAGAGTATCAAATATCACATGAAGAGAAGCCTTTTGGACAATGACTTGGCACTGAGCACTCAACACTAGCGAAACCTATCCATAACTACGTAAATAGGCTGGTCCTAAAGAGGTACAGATGATGCTGACAGATGGATATGAAACGAGTTACTAGAGCTAAGTTTAGCTAATCCAATATGAAGATTGCAATTACGATCTTATAATTAAAGTTCAGACAAGCAGACCTGAGATAGTAGTGGCAGACAGTATTAGCTTCATCCAAACTGTACCGAGGAAAATAGTTTCGAGCATCAGCAGGAACATCAGGCAACTCTTGACGCAATTTCCCCACAGCAGTAGAATGGGAAAAGGCGCCCACCATCATGTCATCGTGCATCATAGACCTAAACGCGTTTACCTGCAATATACACATGACAACAGCCTCATGCAAGATATCAGGTAAATAACGCAGCCCATGCGTAGAGTAGATCAAAAGGCAAAAGACTTGTACATTTGACTGTAGTAGCACCTTCCAGAAAATAAATAACATATGTAGTACCAATTTAGAATATAAAACACTACATGCTAATATTCCTTACTTTTTCTTTTTAACGATTCTAAGTTTGTTTATCCCCATTTAAGCTTTGATTCTGTTGACATTAGAATATTCTTACTAAAACAATATATAAAACGAAATACCCTTGGAAAATTATGGAAAACAGGTACCATTCCATGGCTATCAACTTCAAGTTTGCTATCGGTTTTAAGAAAATTTTCACCTTAAAAAATCATGATTTGGAAACAAGTTCAGAACGCACAGAAGTCCAAATAGTTCTCAAGTAAAATCAATATATTCCCACGACAGAAAGAGATAGCTCAAGCGTGCTGGATGGAATGTGCATGCTGAAAGGACGACAGAAACCAAGTGGATTCTATGTTAATGTCATTATAATTATAATAGTATTGCAACACCAACAGCATGGACCATAACTCACAGAGTGGATCAGAGAAAACTGAGTACCACATAGAGTCAATATTCTGAAATTTACAATTCATGACAGACAGATGTTACTCAAAAGTTGAAACACTTTACACTTTACACTTAACAGGCCACAAGAATTCTTGTACTTCCCAAATATGCATAACAAATCTCAACTTACAGTAGCGAGTTCTCTAGCATGAACAGGTCGGCAAGACCGAACTGTTACTGGTTCCTCAAAATCAGTGAATGTAAACCAACTGTTATACTGTTCAAATACAGCATTAACTGGTCAAAAGCATGCGCAAATGAATTAAAAGGCAAAATACCCCTTGGGCAAGTAAATAAATGAATTTTTAAAAAAATAAAAAAATCAGTTGTAATACTCACTTGATCAATTGCAAAAAGAACAGGAACACTTGTTACTTCTGCTAATTCCTTCCTCAATCGAACAACCACTCCAACAGCAGCATGACTGTCGTTTAGACCAGCCTCAACAAGCTCATAGAGAGTTGTCCCTTCAGAAATTGGCATTTTATCACTACCCTTGGGCCACCCAACACCAGCACCCTCTCCTAATGGAATAGGATCCAGTATGTTGCATTTCAAACCTTGCAAGCAAGACTTGTTGAACTTCAAAAAATCCTAAACGACAGAGGAAGTCAAAATACTAAAACACAGCATACCCAAAAATGCATGTCAACTTAGTGACTGCAGATTTCCATAAATGTGGAAGGTGTCTAATGCGCCAATAGTTTTAGTTAAATTAAAATGGAGATACTATGATATCAGCAGGCTATACTATAATCAAAATCATCGAGAATGAACTCATTTTAAGGAATAAACTTATTTATAACCATAACACCCACAATTAAGTTTCACTCATGAGTCAATTAATACCACTGTCGCAATAACAACCCGCTGCAAGAAAGCAGCACATTCTCGTAAATGTCCGTCAGAAATTGTAATGTTAAAGGCCAAAGAAAAACAAAATGGATCTCCTCCGCACTAATATAAATCGAGATGCCAAGCCAATTAATGAAAAGAAATAAGTGATACACTAGAACATACTAAAACTTCAATAACTTGTAATTGGAGAAGTACAAAATATTACTTGCAGAATGTTTGCCGCCTGCACAGGGGTATCCCACAAACCAGTCTGAGGATTCTTATAGAATAACCCACCATGTGTCCATTCTCGACCTTTGGGGACATAAAACACTAGCCAACCTTCCTTGCGAGCCCAGTAAACAAGCATTGCTAGAGCGATACTCTTCCCACAGCTCAAGGGCCCATCTAACACGATTTGCTTTTTAACTTTGGGAGCTGAAATTTAATTCACCGATGTTCAGTCATTTTCAAACAAATGCAGGGGAAGCATGTCATGTTGCTAGGTTCCCGTTTAAGGAGAGAGAAAGCTAATTATTAATTTGTGAAGTTTTCAAGGTATAAATTCTCACTGGGATAAGCTCTAGATATCAAAGACTCTGGGAATCAGTTTGTTCAGGGATAAAGAACAATACTGGCATGTAGAAATAAAGAATCACAATCTACTTGACATAACAACTGCATATTGCAGAAGCTTCATTCACTTGGAAATTAATACTGCTGGTCAAACCTCGAGTTTCTCTACAGATAAGAATCGTTTATAAAATAAAAATCTGAGCCAATAGCTTTCAGTTATAACAGCGTCTTTCTACGACGATTCATACAATCATCTACCCAATAACAACCTAATACTGCTGAAGACAGTAAACAAATAAAATGGTGTAAACAGTGTACCTTTAAAGTTAACCTCAATGGAAGGTTTAGCAGCCTGACAAAAATTATCACGGAGATCAATGAAACTCTGCCTCACCAACAAGGCACTCCTGTATGATTCCTCAAATTCCTTCATCATTCCCAATGGCAGGCCCTCTGGCAAAAACCTTTTTAACTCATCCATGCTGCAAATAGAATCAACAGATTGCACTTACCAATCACTACCCGGCACTCAACACTCACACATTTAGTACAATGATTGTAAAAAACGTCAATATATAATGTTACTCGATAAGCAATACGGAAATATTTGTCAATGTAATACTAGCAAATCAATTCAATTGTGGCAGGATTCGAAAAAACTTCAAAACATCTAGTGAATTTGATAGCAAAACAACTAATTCACAATAATCTAATAAACTTCAACAGTGCCAAACACTTCTATACATATTATTCAGACATGTATCACTAATTCTAGTTAGAGATGACAAACACTTCATCACACCACCATATGGTACAGGAAACCAACTCTCGAGCTATTCAAAATACTGAAGGATCAGACCAAACTGAGACTAAGAAATCAGCCACCAATTCAATACTGATAACACAAGTTTATCAGAAGAATGTATTGCCTGAATTTGAAGTAAGTATTGACGTCGTCCTTGTTGAGCAAAGAGAGAGAGGAAGCGGATGCGAATAGAGGGCGGCCGTTGGGCCCAACGTCAAGGGCGGGGTTCTTCTCATCCTCCGCCAGCTGGCGCCGGCGTAGTTCGGCTTCTTCCTTGGCGGAAGATTCGGGATTAACCGCCTGCATTTCTTCCGGTTTCTTGTCCCTGGGATCGAATTTGGATTGGGGTTTCTTCCCTTTATTAGTAGGGGGATTGGGAGGTTTGGAGGCCTTCGCGGCCATGCTGCGGCACACAGTGAGATGCCACTGCGATTGCTTGAACGGTGATGCGGCGGCGGTTGCTCGGAGGAGCGACCGGAGCAGCATTTTTTTTTTAAGTTTTTAATGAGATTTTGTTCGGAGTAGTTGGTTGGGGGTTTAAGGGTTTGGGACTTTAATAGGGAGTGAAGAAAATGTTTCGAGTGTAGCTTTTGGAATTTGGGATTATGCTTTTATCAATACGCACAACCAAACGTGTGCTTAGTTCCTTAATCCGTCGTTGTAAATACCGCACAGTAGAACGCCACAGGCCAGTTCAACCGGCTATACCGGTGGTCGGGCCCTTCAATATGTGTTTTTCACTTTGTTGCCGTCGGAAAAACATGGGCATAAAATGTAAAAATTATAGTTCTTTTACTTTTCCTGTTTTTATATTCTTTTTATCAAAATTTTTATAATATATTGATATAACTTCCAAATTCAATGTTAATATATTCATGTTATTATTTAATTTAAATTGAATTTTAGTGTTAATTTAGATGTTGGTTTTGGGGTGTATTATATATATAAAAATAAAAAAAAAATAACTGGACAAAAATAAAAGGAAAAAAAAATTATAGACAAAAATAAAAAGCACGTATTCTCATAATACGTTTTTTTTATTTTTTATTTTTTTAAAAAACGTATTATGGTAATACGTTTTAAAATTATGTAAAATGTTATTTTTTTTAATAATTGAAAAAACAGTATAAAACATATTTCAATAATAAATTTTATAAAAAAATTAATAAATATTTAAGAAATAAAATATATTATCATAATACATTTTATAAATAATTAATAAATAAAATGTATTGTCAAAATATATTTTATATTTTAAAATTAATGAAAAAAAAAATTAATATGTAGTATGTATTTTGTGTTTTGGGCTCGTCTGAACTCGGAATTGAGTTCCGTTTTTCCTATACGTAGCTAACGAACCCCTCTATTCAATGATGCTTGCATGACCAAATTATTCTTGAAATCATATTCTCCCAAAGCTCTTGACCGATACATTAAACGTGTTTCGCGCGACTTTTCTTTTTGGGCCCGTTCGGACTCGTCCAAGCTCGAAACTGATTTTCGCTTTTTCCTATATGTCGCCAAGGAACCATTCTACATACCATGATTTTCTGGTCAATTTTCGGGCTAAATCTATTTCTCACGGGCTGAATAATTAACAAATCACCCATTATATAAATAGATGGTCCATGGAGGATTTGTTAATAGGTGATCACTCGTTATATAAATAGATGGTCCATTGAGGATTTGTTAATTATTTAGCCCCGTGAGCTTGCCCGGGGTGCATACACAACATATACAACATGAGTTTATAGTCTTTTTAGTTTATATATAAATTCTTGTATGAGACGACTTAAACATTAGGTAGGTCGATAATTTTTATATTTTTTTATTTAAAAAAAAAATACATTTTTATGGTTCAAAATGTCATACATCTATTTGTGCTATTATATGGAGTATGACATTACTGTAGAAGTTTGTCTATATAAAAAATGTATGATTCCAACTAACCCTTGAGCTTGTATAACAACAATCTTACCGATAATTATACTATTCAATCATCCTTATAATATTCTGTAAACTTTTTGTTAAATCTTAATATGTTAATTATTTTTATTAGTAGCATTGCAACACTCTTAGAACAAGTGCATGATAATCAACAAATTTTGATATTTAATTTTATTACATCTTGTTGAGTTTAACCTTTGTGTNAAAAAAAAAAAAAAAACTTAAAAAAAATTTTAAAAAAAAGAGCAACTAAATATTATCATATTTTGTATATTGTGCGGAGGTGGAGAGAGATGCAGAGGGTACTAACCGATGAAGGTGGAGCAAGAGAGGAAGGGAGATGCTCGTGAATTTTGAGTTATGTTGTTCTTGTGGACTGATTTGGAAAGAATGTGCCTCACATCCTGTAGGGTCCTGCATGACCCATTAACTGGAGAAAACAGCTGGTGGATCTTTTCGAGGTCATGGGCTAATAAACTATTAGTATTATAACTAAAACCCCTACCCTGGTTCATATTTCACGACAAATAAAAAAATGATATGTATTTAACATTGTGAAAATGAATTGTAATACTTATATTGTATGGCTTTTAGGTTTGTTGACGTTCGACAACTGACGATTACAAAAGTACAATTTAAAGCGGTTTAATCGAGGGTTACAGAATAACTATTGAGTATTTTATTGATACAAAAAATTGACAAATCAAGATAAGATAAATAAGCATAAAAATTGCCGATCGACGGTAGCGGTTGGTAAGGATATTGTTTTTCTAAAATTTTATTATGAGATTTGTACATTATATACAACCAAGTATGAGGGGTGTATCTTTGTATGATTTGGAGATCAATCATGTACTGTATGGTGACATGAGGGGGGAGAAAATGATATATGAGGATATTGATCATGGATGGGTGATAGATGATCTTGATGATGGACCCGAGGGTCGGTATTTATACACGAAATAGGTGATGACACATTAAATGTTAGGTGCTAACTAGTGGCTTAGGTGGTGCCGCGTATTTTCATGTATAGTTTGATGGGACAGATTGTGCAGTGTCACCAGCTTGATCGATTCATATTTCAGACTTGAGGGTGATAATCTAGCTTCCTCTATAAGGCTTTCAGGGCGATCGGTTGGCCGATCGGGGGGTCGACAACCCTAACTCTGCGACATTGGACTGCCCGCGAGAGGACTACGGTGCTCAGTGAGCCTTGTTTTAAATTGTATGGGCTTTCATCATTCTGGAGTTTTTGTGATCGAATATTTTTAGGTGCATCAAGGTTGGCATACAAAAATAGAGATATGACTGTTAGACTTATGCAATTATTGTATGGGATTTGTGCTTACATACAAAAAAAAAACTATAATATTCAGTTCGGTTCAGCATTACCGAAACATATATGAACCAATACTGAAATCAAATTGAAATAGAGTTGGTAACTGAAATAATTGATGCCATCCAGTTACTTTATATATTGGTTATATTCGATTCGATTTGATCAATCTTTTGATTTTATTGTAAAAAATGTTAAGCCCGGAGTCTAACTCGTAACCACTAAACCCAACACACACATATATATATAAGATGTGGTTCAATTGAGAACTAAGTCTTACTGTGAGAACCGTGAGAACCGCTATTTTTATTTGGACGTAGTGCTATGATTGATTGTGTTTGATGCTATTTTTAACCAAAATGAATTTTATTAAAAATAGCAACACAATTTTTGGTAGTACTTGTAAAAATGATAGCATCATCTAATATGAAAAATAACACCATACACAATTAAAAATAGCATAAAAAACGGTTCTCACGGTTCTCAGGACTAATTTTTATTTGAACCAACCCATATATATATATATATATTTTTTTTATATTTTTAAGGATGATGACCCGCCAAACTTGATTTGGAATTGGCGGTTCAACTTCAAGAGTCAAGAATGTTGGCTATATGCAGAAATTGCGAATTTGACCTTAAAGAGGCTAGCCCGGTTTATGTATCCACGTCTCTCGGTCTTACCCCACTCTCTATACTTGTGGCTCTATCGGAAATCATCAAATTACAAACCCTAGAAAAAGCTCCAATCGACAGACACACCTAATTCACAACGAATCATCACGCTCACGATTTCCCGAGGCTAGGGATTTTATTCTATCGTCTTCCATCGTCTCCGTTTACCTGCTAGATTTCAGATTCAGAGCCCAGGGGTGATGGACGATAGCTGTGCAGTATGTGCGGAAAGCTTGGAGTGGGTGGCGTACGGTGCCTGCGGCCACAAGGATGTTTGCTCTACTTGCGTGGCTCGCCTCCGATTCATATGCGATGATCGTCGGTGCTGTATATGCAAGACGGAATCTGACGTTGTTTTCATCACCAAGGTTGCCTCCTTATGAGTTTAGATTTCTCTGATCTATTCGATTTCTACACATGTGTGAAGACATTTATAATCAGATTCAGTAAATTAATATTGTAAACGTGGAGCTTCATCGTGAAGTTAAATTAGATACGGGTTGCTGTAATTAGTTATGGTTTTCAGTTTGAGTTATGTTGGGTGGATTGCTGACGCTTTTTTTTTTTTTGTTTTTTTGTTTTTTACTCACTGATTGATTTGTATGTTTGCTTGATGTTCTCAGGCTCTGGGAGACTATACTAAGACTATCAATGATTTTTCGTTATTGCCTTCTGAAGCCAAAGAGGGTAGAGTGGGGCGGTACTGGTATCATGAAGATACACAGGCATTCTTTGACGATTTGGATCATTATAAGATGATCAAAGCCATGTGTAGGCTTTCTTGCAGCGTGTGTGATAAAATGGAGGACCAGCCAGATGATGGCTCCAGGAGAAGGGCAAGGTTTAGGAACATTGAGCAGCTAAAGGGTCATCTGTTCCACAAGCATAGGATGAATATGTGCAGCTTGTGCTTAGAAGGAAGAAAGGTGTGCATGTCGCTTTCTTTCTTCTCACATACGTCTGTTCTATATATTGCCTTTTTTTTTCTATGTACTACTTTGATATAATATAAGGAAACACTATTCATGATGAGGAAGATGTTTCATGTTCTTCTTGGAAGTCATTTCATAGGTGTAGGCTTGTAGGTGTAAAGCTTTACTGCATGTTATGTGGGTGATGTTCTGGTTCTGATATCTGTTTCTCAGCCTTCGGAAACTTAGAAGCGAGCAGAATAGATTTGCAGATGCATAATGATAAGATATTGATCCTTAGATTAAATTATGGGCTGGTTAATACAAATACATTCAATGATATCTTGTAGTAGTTTGAATTTAGTTAAGGATTCAGTTGCTCGAAATTTGGTCTGTAAAAATACGACAAAGTGGGCGAAACATCACTTTTAAACTGGCCTGCTATGTATTGCCACTATGGACTACTTGGCAGCAGTGCTCCAAATCTCACTGTTTCATGGAGAGAATATGGGAATATAAGAAGTAAAGTCAAACAATGTCTTTCTTTTGCAAGGTCTTGGAGTAAATACTCCAGGGGGTTGTTAATTTCATAGGAATTCAGTAGGACCTTTATTAGCACTCGTAGATGGAAACTAGTTGGTCCCATTGTATTATATTATTGATATTTATTTGTGTATATTTATTACTTTCTGACAGGTTGCTAATTGTAATGATAATGTCCTAACAAGATACACTATTATGTCAGGTTTTTATCTGCGAGCAAAAGTTGTATACAAGATCACAGCTGATGCAGCATACAAACACGGGTGACTCAGAGGTCGATGGAACTGAAAGTGAGCGAGGTGGCTTTACAGGGCATCCTATGTGTGAATTCTGCCGAACACCATTTTATGGTGATAACGAGCTTTATACTCACATGTCTACAGAACATTATACTTGTCATTTATGTCAAAGGTAATTTTTCTGAACTGTAGAATTACAAAGTAATTGGTTTGTGGAATGGGGAATGAGGTGTCCCTTATATGCAGGCAGAATCCAGGACAATACGAGTACTACAAGGATTATGATGACTTGGAGGTAGAGCATCATTGTGCTAATTATTTTGAAGTTTGACATTTGAATTGTCTTATTACTCGAAATAACTTAAAACTTTTTAGATCCACTTCCGACGAGACCATTTTCTATGTGAGGACGAGGGTTGTCTTGCCAAAAAGTTTATTGTCTTCCTATCTGAAGCTGAGTTGAAGGTTAGATACATTTGCACATATTGTGTAGTCCTGTTCCTACCAACTTTTTTGCTTAATTTATTTTATCGGTGTGTGTTTAGAGGCATAATACTTTGGAGCATGGTGGGCGTATGTCTCGTTCAAAGCGCAGTGCTGCTCTCCAGGCATGTTGCTCCAACTCATAACCCATAGTTGCTAATTATTAACTAATTACTTCCGATTATAGATAATCCAGAATAGACTCCCTCTCAGTGTTTCCTGAAAGTTATTTGAACTTGATTCATTTTGCCTGTGACTCCCCCTCCTTTCAGTGGGTGGCCTGAGTATGTGCTCTTATGTCTGTAATTCATGCAGCTACCTACTAGTTTCCGATACAGACGAAGTAGCGAACAAGAAAATCGTCGTGGAAGAGGGCGCACATTTCGGCGAGACCCTGCCGATAACGAACTCTCTTTGGCCATCCAAGCGAGTATTGAGTCAGCGAGTGCCCCATCATCTAGTATTCGGCCCATTTCCGATCATGGAGAAGTTGCTGATTTTGAATCACTTATACCAGCCACTGAATCTTTAGCTGTCACAGACACACCTTCAAGATACCTACAAGCCGTGTCCCAAAGTTCTAGAAGCGGAACTCTGGGAGAGTCTTCTTTTCCTCCTCTGCCAGTGGCTCCTGCAATTAATCAACAGAATTCGCATCCTGATGTCCCTTCCAAGAAAACAATGGCAGCCCATCTCCGTAGCAAGGTCAACAAGAAGGTGAATCCAGCGGCCAGTTCATCATCTCCTGCTTGGCCTGCCGTTACTCGGGCCCCTGCACAGCCCACAATTAATCCTCACGCTTGGCCTGCAGTAAATTCTGTTTCTGGGCCTGTATCTAGTTCTGGGCAGAGCAGATGGGCAGTAGAAACTGGAGCCACATCATCTGCTAGTTGTTTAATTTCATCAAAGGCTTCTGGGAGCACGAGCCGCATGACACATTCCTCATCCGCCCCTAATCTTTCTGAACGCGAACATCTCGGCACAAAAGTTAGCGATTTTCCTCCGGTTTCAGCTGCCTCAGCACAGACACGCAAGCCGCAGCCACCTGCTGTGGATCAAGCTTTGAAGGTGGAAAATGTTCACACGGCGAACAAATCCCTTGTGGAGAAAATGCGTGTTGCTCTGGGGTTTGATGAGGACAAATTCACTGCCTTCAAAGACATATCCGGTGAATACCGCCAGGGGTTAATGGATGCAGAGACATATCTATCGTGTGTTGACCAGTTTGGTCTGTCTCATCTTGTTCCGGAGATGGCCAGGCTCCTGCCTAATGCCTCGAAGAAGAAGGAGCTCATGGACGCCTACAACCTGAATATGGTGTACTACAATGCTTCGAGGGACACTACCTTGAGTGACGGTGTAAAACATGGGAACAGCAGGTCCAAGAAAGGAAAAGGCAAGGCTGTGGAATCACCCAGCAGCTCTGTTTTGGCCGACAGTGTGATAAACACTGTAAAGCAGCTACAGGCAAGCTACAGCCAAAGCACTGAAGAAGAGGTTGAGGTTTTGTCAAAGGACGGATACCGAGGCAGCAGGGCTAAGTCAAAGGTCTTGATTGATGATGCAGCCGCCGAGTCTACAAAGTCAAGGAGCCTGGTTGACCCATTACCTGCAACCAATCAAAATGCAGGTATTGGTGATGGGAAAAGCAAGAAGTGGAAGAAGACATCCAAGTTCCACAGGGTCCGACTTGGTGATGGCTCTGTTGAAGCATTCCTGGATTTGAAAAATGCAGACCCAGATCCGGATCCTGTACCGAATGGAAAGGAAGGTTCTTCTTCAGACTGGCCAAATGAGAGCTTGCCCGTTCGTGGAGTGTGGAAAAATGGTGGAGGTCAGAAGCTATTGGGAGTGACTTCTAGAGGTTCTAAAAACTGAGTTTGGCTGAGGAGGTGATGTGTGAGTTAAACCAAGACTTGGCTGTGTGGAAGTTGCTTTGTTCATTCAGCCTAATGATTCAGTTGGCTTTCGGAATCAGTGTCTTGGAGTGTTTTCTAGTGGTGAAGCTGTGCAGTTGTCTTCTGGGCTCTGCTGGAGTTTTGTTTGTTTTGGATATCACCTGGTATACTCGGACGTACGTACGTTTGTTTGTTTTATCAACTTTTGAAATGTGCAGGGAAGTGTTCCCCTCGTACATTCACGTTACTAAACAAGTTTTAGTAATTTTTTCTTATATTTTTAAAATGCCAGACTAGAGTAAGCGGTGTTTTAGTATGCATCAGCAAAGTTTATACAATTATATCCGTCTTCTGCTTCCTATTTGAGTTTTGATGTAATTTGGCTACTTTCATGAAATGGCTATGACCGTCCGATCCACTCTGCTGAATGTTGATTTCCATTTGTTGTTGTTTTTTTTTTTTTATCTCCTCAATTAAGGCACACAAATAAATGGTGAATGTTGATTTCCATTTTTTTTTATCCCCTCAATTAAGGCACACAAACAAAAGTAGTCATATAATTGCAAATGATTAGGAGCGAGTCATACATATGCCATTCCACAGCAAGGAGAACGAGAATCATGAAATTGACAATATACACCAATTTACAGACAAGGCAACGAAATTGTCCAAGAGAAATAATTAATCACAACTTAAGAGGCCGCATGGCTAAGAGAGATGATGGCAACCAAAGGTTTTCTCGCTACTGTAGCACATGTAGAGGAACCCATCATCATCCTTGTATGAATCATAAACGGACTCGATCAAACTTGCTGTGAGCAAAAAGACAAAAGGAGGGAACAAGTAAACAAATGTTGTCCAAAAATTGTGTGGTAGGATGTTTGAAACAATCCACGAGGAAATTTACATGTCTGTGGTAATGTATTTTTCACAAATACAAAAAGAGCCTTTCCAGGAGCCAAATGGAGCCTCCCGCTCAGTATGTGAATAAATTGGCCAACTGACATGTCACGAGGCACCAAGAATCTGTTGACAAACATTCACAAACAGATACACGTAAAATCTCTACAATTCCTCTTCAAGGAAAAAATAAGAAGAAAACTTATACAAAAGTAACTTAATCTAATTTCAAGACAGAATGAAGGAGTTGATTGTTAATCAACATTAGAGGTTCTCTGCAAAAGTAATTCCATAAAAAGATATAAGATAAGCTAAGAAGTGTAGGTAAATCCCTGTAAAAGAAGGACCTTTTGAATAAATCTCACAAAACAGACTAGACTGTAAGTGATTTCAGTTTTTAAGACAGGTGAAATTCCATGCAATTTGAAAGACAAACGCAAGCAAGACAAAAATGAACTCACTTCTTCTTCTCCATCTCTGGAAGGTCAGATTTTGTATACCTCTCAGCTACAACCTACAATTGTCACCAAGTAAATATTAACATGCCAACGCTATCTTGAAGAGTTATATTAACTGGGTATTTGGTATTAGCATTGGTATTAGCATTCAGAGACATAAAAAGGTTAGACTTTTATTTACTTTTCCAGAACAATTGTGCAATCTACAAAGATCATAGCAACTTCTGAAAATTGAGATACTATTCTACTCCCTTATACAAAAATCATGCCTGCAATTCTGAGATACCCTCTAACTCATCATCCAGTGAAAGAACCTCATATATATCTCCAACACAACTAACTTTTTGACAAAATTCTTCTGAATCTCTAACTATTCTAACACTCACCCAAGGACAGCCTCTAAAACACATAAAATAATCTTCATGCTAACCCAATAAATCATTATCCAAACCATATATCCCTAGCCACACCAAAATCATGAAAACAGACTTAATTAACGTATACGAGATAAAATTACCTACATAACGTTATCAAACTGAAGAAACCCAATCTGCTTTTCCTTCTAAAAAAGCTCTAGGAGATGAGAAATGGAAAGACAAATGAGACAATTTCGATAAGTATATATGTAGACTTCCCTCATCAAATTTCTTTCACATCTCTTCTTGTTCTACAGTGCACTTGGCCTTTCTTTTCTTCCTTTATTTCCTTTTCTTATTTCTGTTACCAAACTATCTATAAGTTTTAAGCATCATCAAAGCTCAAATACATTCTTCGGCGAAACTAACAAAAAGGGGTGCAATGAACTAGTAAAAACAACACTGCCAGCATATTATAAAGCTAGGTGAACTAAGATGCCACAAACTCAAGGTGCCCAATATGAATAAATGTAGACAGCTTACAATTTTGCGAGGTGATCAAGTCTCATCCATTGACTAGCAAGGTCAAAAACAGATTATAAAAACGACTTACAGGGACTCGATCGGGATATTTGGCGATGATATCTTGCGAGTCTTGCTGTCTTTCCTCTGTGATAAAGAATTGAACCAACTGTTCGTTACCTAAAACGAAACGGGGAAAAAAAAGATACACGCAACTATCCTAAATATGAAAAAGAAAAAAAAAAATTGGATAAGAAAAATACCAAAAGCGAATTCTTTCTTAAAAGGCTGAGTCTTCGCCTTGCCCATCTTCGAACTTTTTCCCGATCACAACTCTCGCCGGAGGATTATTGATGAGGTGGAGAAACTCCAAATATATTGATCAATTGAAAATAGAAGTTGGACCGCAATGAAATTTCTACATAACCCCCTGGACGCTGCACTAGTTTGCAAGATGCCCACGAGCTTCGGAAATTTACAAAATCCACCACACTATTAAAATCTCAAAAATATTTAATAATTTTGAATGAATTATTTTTTAAGAATCACAGCTTCAGTAAAATCGATTTGTTTTTAAGTTTCAAATAAAAAAAATATAATAATCTTAGAAGAAAATCAATTCCCAGNAAAAAAAAACAAAAAAAAAGTTAAAAATAAAAAAAAAAAAAATATTGTCGACCACAATAAAAAGCACGTATTACAGGAATACGTTTTTATTTAAAAACCGTATTCAGCTAATACGTCTTCAATAATAAAACGTATTCATGGAATACGTTTCCCTAAAAAATAATTTGTTAACTTAAGTAACGTAATTAACTTAAGTAAAACAAGGTAAACCGTATTGGCTGAATACGTTTTATGCCGAAAAAAAATAAGAACGTATTAAGTGAATACGTTTTCATTTTAAAATTAGGTGTATATATATTTTTTTATACAACGTATTAACGAAATACGTTTTACAATCTAAAAAAATAAAAACGTATTAAGTTAATACGTTTTTAATTTTTTTTATTATAAAACGTATTTACATAATACGTTTTATAAAAGAAAAATAATTTTTACAATTCCTAAAAATAATTTTTCTCGGGACAAAAATTTCGAAATGTAAACCGTATTTCGTAAATACGTTTTATATGTAATTTTGCCCCAAATTGATTTTTGGTGCCCTAATTTTGCCCCAAAACCCTAAATATACCTGTTCACAACCAAATACACCTGTTCGAGCAACTAATATCAACATATTCGCCCAATAATAATCCAACATATCATATAAACAAACAAATGAAACACAATAATTTGTCGAACAAACAATATATACAAAACGATATATTCGGTTTATGCAAACAATCCAAAAATCCAAAATAAACACAATTCCACGAATTCAACACTACTAACTAGGAAGGAGTGAATGGTTTTGTAGGCTTGTGCGGTCTGGAACTCCTCCGAGTATATACGATTTGAGCAGAAGACGAAGGTCGAGGTGTGAGAATTGTGTCAGTATGAAAAGCTTGCTCAATTTCATCTTCTTCATCTGAATAGTTCAATTAATAAAAAGAAATCATAAATTGGATTGTAAAAAAAAGAAAAAAAAAGGAAATTGTTAATTTAAAAATCTCACCTTGTTCAGGCTCGGGCTGCTCAGGTTGGATGTGCTGGGCTGACGGCTGAGTGCGGGGACGGGCCCGGGGTCTTCTACCACCACCAATGTTGGGGGCGGGTTGATGCCTGGCCGTGTGCGACTGTGTCCTCATGGGAGCCATGTATTCGTCCTGGGAGAAAACTTGACTGGACGGCCCCCCATGTGGAACACCCTGGCCCCCAACAGTCAGAGAAGAGAAGGCAAAGTTGTATGACTGTTGGAAGCCGGTCTGCGCTTCTGGAGGGATTTGAGGCAGTAATGGTTGAATGTCCGATAATGCGCCATAAACCCCTTGCAGTGCAGAAGTCTGTAAAAAAATTTCATAATAATTAGTATAAAACACAAAATAATAATAATAATAATAATAATAATAATGAACACTTACCTGACAGCCTAAGCGCTCGGCAAGTGGCTGATACCCGCCCGCATGCTGGAACACCGGGTAATTGGCAGGGTTATTGATGAATCTCACAGTCCTGCTGTGAAACCAATCAATGTAACCCTGCTCCGGCTGCAGATAGTCGTGCACGAGGACAACTGGGAGGAGACGTTGTTCTAGTTCTTCGGTCCACGAGGTCAGAAAGGGCACATGGAATGCGGCCCAATCGTAAAACGCTCTCCCAGTCATCCCCTGACCCTTGTGGTGTGCGTCCCACTCTCGCTCATCTTGAATGATCGGATCGTGGGGTATGGACTGCCGGCACCCAAATTGACGGAGGACCCTGTCAGGCAGGTGTACCTCCCGGATGTTCCAGCTGAAAATCCATCCCCGGTACATCCAAAATTGTGGATCTCTTGAGCACGCCTCCGGGAGAGTATCATCCTCCAGGTGTTGCCGATATGGCTGCCAGTCAAACTGTAAAAAAAATAACAATTGAATTAGTAATTAAGTTATTACAAAATTATAAACAAAAAAAGAAAGATAAATGAAGTAATAGAAATTAAAAATATTACATCATACTCTCCCAGCCCTGTCAACTGATCCCGGTAGGCGACCAATGTAGTTGCTATGTTCGACTTCTTTTTCGGTCCCACCCACCTTAAAAATCAGAGAAAAAAAAAAGGTTGTAATCACAAAATTTGGTAATGAAAATAATGTACGGATTAAATAAAAATAAAGGTTACCTCGCTCCCAATGGACAATCGGGCAGAGAATGAAACCTACTGTTCTTGACTATTGGGCGAATACGAGGGATATGCTCCCATGCCCAAACCTACACAAATGGAATAACAATTAAATAAGAAAGAATACAATATTAAAATTTAAAATAACAATTTAATAAATTTACCTGGATCAATTGAATGCAGTGCTTCAGCCACTTCTCCTTGGCCATGTACGAGGTTGACAAAGCTCTGTACACTCCGGCCAGTAGAGCTGAACCCCAACTGTATCCCTTCACAGCATCTATGTCCTGCAGCAGGTCCAGCCAGTAAAGTGGACGCCATTCGCCCGCTGGTAGGGGAACATGAAGGACCCAATGCACCAGAAGATAAGGGCCCTCGCCCTCTGCTCGTACACGATGTGCGGTTGCCCTTCTTGCAACACACGGTTGCATTCCTCCTCTAACCCTCCATTGTTCAGATACTGGCCTCTAATGTCCCAAGACTTTGGATCTTGGGCTGCCCTTTCTTCCTCGGTGGTGGGAGGATCCTGAAAGTAGTTTTTCCATATTAAAAACAATAAAATTGAGTTGACATATATTTAAAAAAAATTGTATGAAAAAATATACCTGAACATAGGGCTCGTACCCTAGCAAGGCCTTACACCTCTCTCGCCACTGTAGGGGTGATAGATCTCTAGTCACCCCCACAACAGGAGCTCCACGGACTGGCAGACCGAACAGAACTTGTACGTCCTGGAGCGTGATGGTGGCCTCGCCGAAATCGAAATGGAATGTATTCGTCTCTGGGCGCCACCTCTCCACGAGAGCAGTAAGAAGGCTGTTGTCGGCTTGGACTCGACCCATCCGAAACAAGTGACCGAAACCAGTCTGGTCGATGACCTTCCAAACCGACCGTGGCTGGCTTGACAAAGCCAGCCAGAATTGACTGTCGAAACGGCGGTTTGTGAGCGACGTGTCACGAGCTCCCGACGCATTACTAAATACCGCCTGTGACCGGTGGCGGTACTGGAGATATAGAAGAGTGTCATCCCTCGGACCGGGATGGACACTGTACTGCTGAGGCTGTGAGGAGGATGATGAAGCCATTTATCTACACACAATACAACACAACTTCAACAACATTTCACAACTTCAACAACATTTCACAACTTCAACAACATTAGATTTTCAACAACATTTCACAACTTCAACACAACTTCAACAACATTAGA